ATGTCCAGGGAAATATGAAGACAGTAGCTCGTTTTCTCTAGGGAAGAAGCTCTGCTCTAAGCATCAGATGAAAAGGAATTATCAAGTAGACACTGTGCTCGGCCACCTGCCATCACTGACCCCTGGAAAATGTTACCAGAAGGGCGAGGCATGGCAAGTTTATTGCATCTGGCTGTATTCTAGAGATACGCTCCCGTCCTCACCACCCCCCACCTCGCCTGCACAAGTACAGCTGGGGGCTTCCCCCACCTCTCAATATTCGACATCCAAAACTGACATTCAACAGGGAAATTATACAGAATCACTCCTGGCACTGACCACAGGGAATCAATAGACTAAACCTTTGTGGCTTTTCCTAGAAAACCAAGAACAGTCAGAAATGGCCTTAGGTACTGGCTATGAAAATGGGAAGATATTCTCTTAGGTCTTATCTTAAAATTATGGTCTTCAGGGTGCTCGCCAAATGGAGGGTGGATATTTAAAATATACGTTTAAGATTAATACATACCGATCACTTATGTTACAGAGTCTCTGCCATGTATGAGCTAGTTTAATCTTCACCAGTGCTATAAGGTGTTACCTCCACATTATAGGTGAGGAAATGGCAGAGGTGTAACTAGGGTATGGCAGGTATTGCACTGGCTCTGGGTGCGTGGCACCACTGAAACTGTGTCCCATCCAAACATCTGATACCCCTCTTTTAGATTTTACCATAATACCCAAAACCCATTGCCGTCAAGTTGATTCCGATTCATAGTGACCCTATAGGACACAGGAGAACTGCCCCACAGGGTTTCCAAGGAGTGACTTGTAGATTCCAACTGCCAACCTTTTGGTTAGTAGCCAAGCTCTTAACCACTGTGCCACCAGGGCAAGTCAAGCTCATTAATCTTTTAATTAACACATTACCGTGACTGAAGGACATTAGGCCCTACCGGGTTAATAGAAACTGCTCAGGGGTGCCACGCGCCCAGGGCCAGTGCAATACTTTGCTCAAGGCCACACAGACAGCAAGATACCATGCTCTCTCCTTCTATGTGGACATCTCAATTTCAGTTTTAGGAATAAGGATGCACTGTGGTTAAAAGAAGCACATGAAAGTTTAGGAGAAAAGTCAGGCATGGTCTTGGGTGAATGCAGGTATTTCCCAAAGCTCTGCAGCCAGTTTACACAATTTAAAAAAAAAAGGTTCCAAGGTTAATTAAGTCAGGAAATGTTTGGGAGAACCCGTTTCTTTTCTGCAGGATTTCTCTGAGCCTTTAATATGGTAATATTGGATTAGAGGTCACCAAGAGGAGAATATGTAAGGATATCTTTTTTGAGACGTCTTGTTTCTTAGAATACACTTTGGAAAGAGTTACGGTAAAGCTTTAAGTCCCTAAAGTCACATTCAATTGTAGAAAAATAAGTCTCATAATTTCTGGACACATTTGATGGTCCTCCCCCAACTCACCCTCAAATGCAAAGTGAATGGGTTTAGCAATTTGACTTTGGCCCTTGAAGAGACTGCAGCACTTGGCTTATCATAAACCAAAACCAGGACTGGACACAAAAGCGCAGAGCACAGAGCAGAGATGGAGGTGTACAGGGTGCATCTGGAGGCTGGGGACTGAAGAGCACAGATGACCTCAAACAATGTCTTCTTGTTCAATTCAGTCAACTCCTGGATTCCAAAGGCTTCCCTGGTGGCCTGGGGACCACAGGGGCCAGGCTGCTGACTCTGTGCTCTCTCCACTTCAGAACTCTTAAGCACTCCCATGTGAATGAGCAAAATGGAACCAGGTGCTTTAGGAAAGCATCCTAGAGCTGTACGGGCCCCCAGAGAGCCATTCGTCCTACCACGTTGTATAGATGCACACATCTAAGTTCACAGGTCATGCTACAGCTAAGACTTGACACGATTCCCTTGATGTGCAGTCCACCACACCCTGCTTCACAATAGTTGGGCTACATTTTGCTTCTTATTTGAAAAAAATGTACTGAATGTTTTGAATGCATAAAACACTGTTTTTGCAAGATGAGTTTATTTCTAAATTGTCTGACATGAAAGACCAGAACGTAATTGAAACAGGGCCTTTGTTGGTTTGTTGATGGGTCCCCAGAGCCTAGGACAGAGCCTGGCACATGTATGTGTTGATATATCTCTGTTGAATTAACGCATGATGGGCATCTTAGCAGATTACACAGTCATTTACATTTCTAAATGCTCACCTGATCGCGAGGTTAAGATTTATAGGAGAGCCAAAGAGAAATCTGACAGCAAAGCCTGGCGACTGTGCTCAGGCAGGTCTGTGTGTCTTGGCCCTTGCAGGTAAGGGCTGAAGGGTGTTCTTGGGGGAGGAGCAGGAGCTGGAAGGTAGCTGGGCTGCAGCTCTCCAGGTAAAGAAGTGAAACAAAACTCAGCAAGAAGAAAATGGGTTATTCGGATCCATTTTGGTTCATTTATAATGCCTTCTTTGCTTCCTTGCAGAAGAACAAATGTGGGAACTTGTACATGTGGTTTGATAGACTGATTTGGAAATGAAAGATTTCCAACAGTATAAATGGATGGATTTCAGGGTGAAGGCGCTCTTCTTTTCATAAAAGAGGTAGTTAATAGCTTACATTCCGTTATAAGACTGCCCGTACCCCCCTTAAAAAAAAATCATTCTCTATTGTAACTTAAAAACAAACAAAAAAACTTAACTCATTTTTGGATAGGCCACATGCACGTTGAAAACCGATTCTGTATCATTCTCAACCTCAAACAGAACATTTTTAATAACTACTTCTGAGTAAATGCCACCCAGTAAATATCTCTTTTGTGACATTAAACAAATCCACTCAAATACCAACAGATTCAACTGTATAGCACCATTCCAAAATACTAAACTTTCTTTGCACCTTTATTTTTATCTTTTTTTTATACACGTTTAAAGTATGGGCATCCTGTAAATTTCTGAAAAGCCTCATAAAAGGGGGGGAAAAAAAAGAAAACTAATTTTTAGGACAGAGCAGTAACTCAGTTTGTAGGCAAGATGATCTCAAGCAGGCTGGAAACTCTTCATGGGCTTCCGTAAGTCTCGATTCTGGGTGAGGGTAGAGAAGGATGCCTACATCTTCCTGGATTACGTTAGGGACTGCGCTGTGTCTAGGAACCTGACGTTCAGAGGTCAGACTCTGGATAGGGATTACAACTCAAACCACGGCAACAGCAGTCTCTGTAATGACTTTACTCGTTTGATGGACAAAAAAATTGGGGTATTATCATAATTCAGAGTTTGTATACACCTTTTATTCACACTCTGTAAGAGAGAAATTAGAATAATATTCAATTTCCTCTTACACATCTCCATATGTTAAGCTTGGAGCACTAAAATCTGTTCTTCACAAGCAGATGTATTTAAAGTAGAATTGTAAGTGGGTTTTTAATTCAACATATATTTGGCTGCATTGTTATGTAAGACTGTTTGAATAAGTAATGTGGGAGTTGATAGATGATGAGGCTGCTTGCAGGAAAAAAACCTTTTTTTTCTCGTGACATTAGAGTCACGTCTCACACTCTGATTAGATCTGTGTGTTCTTGTCTAACCCTTCCATATATTACTGTGAGTAATGTGAACCAAGATAATAGGTACGCTGAGAGGACCGGTAATTTTTTGAGTATATTGTGATTGGTAGGGTGGTGTGAAGAGGTAGAGTCAGAACAAGAAGGGTGTCCACTAACAGTGCAATTATGCAGCAGTTCCAAAGAAATTGATTGTTACACAATAACAGTCAATGACCCAGAAGAGCAAGTTTAAATTAGAGGTGAACAGCATTAAAAGCCCCTGTGCACCAGGTAGGAAAGAATATGAGAATATTAATATGCCCTGAAATAGAAATAATCACTTTGCACTATGTACACCACATACAATATAACAGTTTTTTTTTTTTTTTTAACATTGCACAATAAATATCATACAAGGTAGAGGAAACGAAAAGCAAAATAACTTCTAACTTTGAGGCACACAGAAGAAACATGGAAAGGGCTGAGCTTTGATTAAAATTAAGATGGGGTTAGTGAAAGGCAGGATGTTACATTTTCAGGCCAGCAAGCTCCTTGGAGAGCTCACCTTAGCTAGGTTGGTGGCCACCTCCCACAGAGTCTGAAAATGATCATACCTCAATGTCATTAGGGTTAATTGCTTCAAAGAAAGACTAATTAGCTAAATAATTTGAGAAAACCAAACTGTGGCTCTGCACTCTAAAGTAGGTAACCTCTAAAGGTCCCTTCCGACCTTAGGGTTTCATGACAAAGGACCACTGGGCACACTGTCGTATTTCTCCTATTTCTTGTTACTAATGAAACCACCGTAAGGAAACTTGAACAGTATTCAAGAACACCCATCACAGTGCTTAACAAGATTTAATGTACATTTATTCTTAACATGTGGGACATATAAAGATTTTATACTGAATAAATGATATTCATTAAGCCAGAGGAAAAGGAGGAATTTACATCAAGTTTTTTTTTTTCTTTTTTTAAACTACATCATCTTGAAATACAAATGTGGATTCTCATCACTGAAAAATCTTTGAAGTTGTGTTTCTTCCTTTTACTTGTATTTTTCTTTTTTTGTCTGTACTGGTAACCATTTCCTAAATCAATCCATATGCAACCATTTCCACACCTTGATTCATGAAGCAAATTGTGATCAGCTGCTCTCCGGAAATAGAGCATGACTTTATACATACAGAAACTTGTACATTACCCTCTTTTCTTTTTTTTGTCCTTTTTGTTTTTGTTTTTTGTATTTTTTCTTTTTTTTTTTTTTTTTTGAGTTAGTCT